TCTCAGTCTCTGCACTGAGCTGGGAGCCCGATGTGGGGCTCGATCTCACAACCCCGAGATCACAACCTGAGCTGAAACCAAGGGTCAGACACTGAACCGCCTGGAACCCCCCACCCCGCGCCCCTCTATTTTTAAGTGCACAGTTGAGCGGCACTAAGCACCTCCACACTGTCGTGCTGCCTTCACCTCCGTCCGTCCCTAGAGCGCTTCTCATCTTGCAAAACTGAAACTCTGTCCCCACCCCCCTTCCCCGTCCCTGGCCACCACCCTTGTGTTGCCGTCTCTGGGCATCTCAGTGCTCTGGGGACCTCATGTAAGTGGAATCGTGCAGTGCTTGTCCTCTTGGGCGGGCTTATTTCACTCAGTATAACGTCCCCAAGGGTCATCCATGGTATTGCCTGGGTCAGAGTCCCCTTCCTCCTGTAAGGCTGCAGGATACTCCACGGCGGCCTAACGAGGGCCCGGGCGTCCAGCGGCAGGCCCCTCTGACCCGCCGGGCCTCGGCGCCAAGCAGGTGGTCCCTCCATGGAGCTTCCGGCTGGGGGCCCCCCGTTATATCTCCTCACAGGCCCATGAGTCGCTGCCAAGCTCTTTTGTAGCCAACTCAGAGGATTGGTTTCCAGACTGAATTCCGCAGATGACACCTCCTTGCTTCAGCGCATGGCACGGTGCATAATCTTCAAATAGTACGAGAAGTCGTGACTCAGTTAAGCTTTTTTTTTTCCCCCAATTAATACTCAGAGGAAAGAAGATGCACCAAAATAGCTGAGACTCCAGTCAACCTAAGTTCTCACCTGAGCTCGATGTAACTGAAATTCTGTCTTAGACGCACCTCACAGCAACCCAGGGGCCAAGGCGGGGACCCTCCTTATGATGCACAGGAAAGCCCGGGTCACGCACCTGAATCGGGGCCCAGGCCTCATCCCCTGGCCCCACATTCGTCCTCCTGCAAGTGCCTGCCAACAGAGCACTTCCGCCCCTTTCTGAGCAGCCAGCTCTGAATAGGGGTGCTCAACCCCTCCACAGTTTTGCCCCTGGGGGGATGCTCCTGGCATCGGGTGGGTAGGGGCTGGGGATACTTGCAAACATCCCACAACGCACAGGATAGTCTCCCACAACAAAGGATTATCTGGCCCCCAAATCTCACCAGTTTTGAGGCTGAGAAGCCCCAGTTTAGAGCAGCTCAGACCCCAGCCCGCCGTGATCCACTGGGACACCAGCTGTGGCGTGAGGAAGCCCGGCAGGGCCAGCCAGCCCAGAGCGGGGCGGTGGGCCCAGGCGGCCACTCTTTACTCACTTAGGCTCCCAACAAACCCGCAGCCCTACCATGCACCAGATGCTGAGGTTACAGAGTTGAATGAGAGAGACGCAGATCGGGCCTCGTGGGTGAGACAAGGTGTAAGCAAGTTAACAGAGTGGGAAGATCGTGGAGGAAATGACACAGCGGCGTGCCCAGGAGGAGAGGGCTGGCCACCCTGGGATGGGCACTTAGCTGATGCCTAAGTGAGAGCCAAGTGTGGGGAAGGAGCCGGGCCTGTACATGTTCTCAGTCTGGGAAGAGGGGGTACAAAGACCCTGTGGGTCCCAGCCCCAGAGAGCAGGCTGCAGGGCCCAGGATTTTCCAGGCCCGGGGAGGTAGATAGGCTCCGCTTGTGACCTCGGACAAGGATGTCCCAGCTGTCGAGCGCCCTCGAACCACAGAGCAGTTGCTTGATGCCAACTTCCAGGTGCTGCAGAAGTTACCAGTTCTGTTCAGGTCATGCTGCAAAGAGCCCTGCAGGGCAGGGACCGTCGTGAGGACACAGCTGCTCGGGAGTTAACCAGATTGTCTGGGGTCACACATTTGCTCAGGATTTGCACCCGAGCAGTCAGATTCCAGAGCCCACGCTCTTGGCCACAGGGTTATGAAGCCCCTCTGTTCCCAGGATGCAGGGTCAGCGGGGGCCCCTCTAGGACCCCTGGAAACAGAGCCCACCAGGGTGACCAGGAGAACGAGGAGTGTGGCTTCACGTCCAGGCAAAGGTTTACACGGGCTGGCAGCCTCATCTGCAAAGGACCAGAGAGTAAATATTTGAGGCTTTGCAGGCTGAACAGTCTCTCAACTTCTCAGTTCTGTCACTGGAGCGAGAAAAGAGCTGTGGACTCAGTAGCTTATTTACAAAACCGGGCAGAGGGCCAGATTCGGCCCTTAGGCCATAGCTTGGGGACCTCTGGGTGTATGGCTGGGGGATGGAGCCGGGAAGACCCAAAGCACTTGACTCCTAAGCAAGCGAGACAAAAGGGGCAGCAAGAACCCGGTGGGTCTAGTTCACGGCCCTCGTGGGCAGGTATGAGCCGCCCCCACAGGGACAGCGGTTCACACTGTGTGCATCAGGGGCCCTGGGACTGTGGCTTCACGGGGACTGGACTCAGAAAGGAAAAAGCCAAGGCGAGAGCTGGCCCAAGGTTTTGCTAAGAGAGGCCTCTCCTGGACCTGGGCCCCCGGATCCTTTGGCCCGTGTGACTCTGATAGAAGGGGTCTGAGAACTGAAAGATACAAACACCTGCCCCAGGAGTGGGGGCAGCAAGAGCAGATCCTGCAGCCCTGGGGCCCCCCTGGCTGCCTGGGACAGGGAGTTCCCAGCCTCGGGCCTCAGACGCCACCTGGTGGCCACTGGGAGCCCAGCAGACACGTGGGCCCGAGCCAGGCTCCAGGCCCTTCTCCAGAAAGATGCACCTGGAGACCAGCAGTGTTACAGACTTGATGCACAGCAGGGCCAGGCCTGAGTGAAGGGTGCGGAGTTTTAAGACAGAAGGGAGGGGTGGGGAGGGCCACGGCCAACAGAACAGACCGCCTGTCTAAAGGAACGGCGTCAGCTCCTGCCCGTGGACCCAGTGGGGACAGTGTAGGCACTTCTTCGGTTCTCTCTTCCGAAGCTCGAAATCTGCACTCCTACATGACCACCCACCCCTGCTTTTCTCTAATGTTAGCAACCTGATCAAATTTGTCTTTTAATGTATAGAAGATGCAAGAAATCCAGGCTCTGGCTTTAGCCTGCATGGCCTCGGTTTTCAGTAGCCAACTTAGAGCCTGGAAAAAATGCCTCTGAGCCCTGCGTCCCTGCCCAGCTCCGGGGAGAGCATCCCGCTCCCTGCTGGCCAATCAGACGGGGAAGCTGAGAGACCTCCCCCCAAGCCGCTCCCTTTTCTATCCAGAAGAACGTGCTACCTAGCTTTTTTCTTTTCCGGTTCAAATTAATGCGGTTTTTTTAGTGTCTTTGTTTCTTATTGAGGTATAAGGGACATATAACATATTAGTTTTGGGTGTGCAACATAGTGATTTGGTACCTGCAGACATTGCAAAATTATCACAATAGGTAGTTAATATCCGTCACTATACAGTGCCAAAAATTTTTTTATTTATTGTGAAAATTTTGAAGATCTCCCTTAGGAGCCTGCAAATATGCAACACAGTATTATTAACTATAGTCACCATCCCCTACATGACATCCCCAGGACTCACTCATTCTGTAACTGGAAGTTTGTACCTTTTGAGCCCCTTCACCCATTTTGCCCACTCCCGACCCCACACCTCTAGCAGCTACCAGTCTGTTCTCTGTATCTATGAGCTCGGGGTTTTGTTTTGTTTTGGGTTTATTTTTAGATCCCACGTATAAGTGAGATCAGGTGGTATGTGTCTTTCTCTGACTTGTTTCACTTAGCCTTATATATCCTCTAGGTCCATCCATGTTGGTCTTTTCGTTTTTGTTTTTTTGTTGTTGTTTTTGTTTTTGATGATTTTATTTATTTGAGAGAGAGACAGCATGAGCAGGGCAGAGGGAGAGGAAGAAGCAGACTCCCCACTGAGCAGGGAGCCCAACAAGGGACTCGATCCCAAGACCCCGAGACCATGACCTGAGCCAAAGGCAGACACCTAACCGACTGTGTCACCCAGGCGCCCCTATTTCTTGTCTTTTTGGTAACAGCCATTCTAACAGGTGTGAGTGAGAGGATAGCTCATTGTGGTTTTGATGTGCGTTTCCCTGACGATGAGCAACGCTGAGCACCTTTTCATGTACCTTTTGGCCAACTGGATGTCTTCTTTAGAAAAATGTCTACTCAGATTCTCTGCCCGTTTTTTAGTCAGATGGTTTGGGTTTTTGCTATTGAGTTCTATAAATTTTTATCTATTTTGGATATTAACTTCATCCTTATCAGACAGTTTTTATCATAAATGGATGTTGAATTTTGCCAAATGCTTTTCCTGCATCCACTGAGATGATCCTATGATTTTTATCCCTCATTTTGTTAAATGTGGTGTATCACGATAGAGCTTGGTTGGCAGATGGTGAACCGTCCTTGTATCCCTGGAATAAATCCCACTTTATCGTGGTGTTTGATCCTTTTCATGTATTGAATTCAGTTTGCTGAGGGATTTTGCATCTATGTTCATGTGGAAACTGGCCTATAATTTTCTTTTCTGGTGGTGTCTTTGTCTGGTTTTGATATCAGAGTCATGCTGGCCTATGAAATGAGTTTGGAAGTGTTCCCTCCTCCTCTCTTTCTTGAAGAGTTTGAAAAGGACTGGTATTATTAATTCTTTATATGTTTGGTAGAACTCACCAGTGAAGCCATCTGGTCCTGGACTTCTGTTTGTTGGGAAGTTTCTGATTACCGATTTAATCTCCTTACTTAATGATTTTATATCCACGTTCATTTTTTTTTTTTTCTTTTTTTATTGAGGTGAGGTCCAGACACCATAAAATTTACCTTTTTTACAACGTTAAAGTCTACAATTCAGAAGCATGTACTACATTCACAGTGTAGTGCACCCACCACCTCTAATTCCAGAACCTTCCATCACCCCCAAGAGGGAACCCCAGTACTGTCTGCCCATCCCATGGCAACCATTAACTTGCTTTTGGTTTCTTTACCTCCTGTGGACATCCTGAACAAATAGACCCATAAAACATGGGACCTCTCGTGCCTGCATTCACGGAGCGTCGTGTGGTGGACACCCACCCACATGGTAGCGTACATCATGGCCTCGTTCCTCTGTGGCCAAACATTCCATCACACAGATGGACCACATGTGTCCCCACATGGCTCTTTCTGGGCATCATCTCAAGCCACATCCTCCTTAGCTCTGGGCCTTCAGTTTTTCCCAATTGAATCATCGTGTGGTCCTTCCCACTGGGCTCCCTCCAGGTCCTGCCTCCTGAGCAGGTAGGTCTCAGGAGCCCTCAAGTCTCGGGATCAATGGGCCGCTGCCTGGAGGGACCGGCCAGCCTGTCCAGCCCCACTAACCCAACCACCCGCCAACGCCCACAGAGTACAAGACCAGCTATGCCCGGAACCGCTCCATCCGCTCGGTGGCCATCGAGATGGATGGCGGGGTTCACCGCACAGGCCTGGACGACACATCCCAGCCCCACAACCTTACCAAGCGGCACTGGCCAGGGGCCCCTGAGGACCCAGACGACAAGGATGGCGGAGACTTCAGTGGCACCGGGGGCCTTCCAGACTACTCAGCCCCCAACCCCATTAAAGTGACACACCGGTGAGAGTCCAGGCGGAGGGCAGGGGTGTGGGGGGCAGCTGGGGCCTTGGGGGTGGGTGGAAGCCCACACCTCGCGCCCCTGGCTGGTCCCCCTCAGCCCCTCAGAGCACACGTGGCCCCTTCTCTCGAGCAGGTGCTACATCCTCGAGAACGACACGGTCCAGTGTGACCTGGATCTGTACAAGTCCCTGCAGGCCTGGAAAGATCACAAGCTGCACATCGACCACGAGGTGAGGAGGTTCTGGGCCAGGAGCACTCTCCCCCCACCCTGAGCTGGGCAGGACCACCAGCCACCCCGGGAGGGACAGAGGCCTGCCCAGGATCCTCGGGCATCTGACAGGCCACTTCCAGGCTGCAGGGGAGGACAGTGTAGTCAAGGACTGTCCTTCCAGGACCGCGCTTCACTCACAGATGCTCCCGCCACAGCCGGTCCTCTCAACGAGCCTGGGGGTGACAAGGCCTTGGTGGGCTCAGCTGGTCCTCACGAGCCTGGCCCCTTCAGCAGGTGGAACCCAGGGCCCCTCGGCCCCAGGCCGTCCCTTCTCCCCCAGCGCCCCAGAGTTTCATAGCCTCCTCTCCTGCTCTCTGCCTCAGATCGAAACCCTGCAGAACAAAATTAAGAACCTGCGGGAAGTCCGGGGTCACCTGAAGAAAAAGCGGCCCGAGGAATGTGACTGTCACAAAATCAGGTGAGGAGGCAGTGAAGAGCAGCCAGGACACCCCAGAAAGGCCCCTTGTGCTCCTGCAGGACACTGCTGGGGACACAGCCTCCCCTCCGGGGCTCCTTTCAGGATCTTTAGAGCCCTGTCTCCTCCCTCAGAGGGAGAACAAAAAACCAGTGAGCACTCACATGCCCGTTGCCTGCAGTGGGCACAGACCGCGGCCCGGGGAGCCGGCCAGACGCACCTGCTCACGGAGGCAGGCTCTTGCTGGGCGGGGGGGGCGGCGGGACTGGTTCCCAGGAGGGGGAGGTGCCTGTGCGGACTGCCCTTCCAGAAGCAGCCCTCCTGGCCCAGGGTCCACGTTGCCAACTCGGGGAACTGCGGCCTGGGGGTCGCTGTCCAGCCGAAATTCTGCGACGCTGGAGCCGGGCTGCGTCTACGCCACCCAATATGACAGCCAGCAACCACGCGGGGCTCTTGTGCTCTTAAAGTGTGGCCGGGGTGACGGGGAACTGAACTTGCGCTTTGATGTAAATGGGAAGAGCCACAGGTGGCCAGTGGCTCCTGCACCAGTGTGCCCCCTTCTCAGAAAAGGCTGGCCCTGAGCCAGCGTGCGGTGGGCAGGGGTCGGGGGGGCACCCGACCTGGAGATGCCAGCCCAGCGTCCAGTGCTGCTGACTTACACCCACCCAGGGCCCCCCAGCTGGCCTCCAGGGCAAGGGGCCGGCCAGCCAGGCAGCTGCCGCCCCGGCGGTGGTTCCCACCCCAGCACTGCCCCAGAAAGCGGGCCGGGGGTCCCAGGGGACCGCGGTTTGCACCACGCCCCTCCCCAGGAGCTGCCCTGTAAGCAGCTTCGGCCACCCGGGGTCTGTTACAGTTACCACCCCCAGCACAAAGGCCGCCTCAAGCACAAAGGCTCCAGTCTGCATCCTTTCAGGTAAGGGCAGCTTAAGGCTCAGGAGAGCTAAGCCAACAGGAGCAGGAAAGAGGTGCTGACCCTTCCCCGCGGGGTACGCGGCAGTCCTTGAAAAGGCGGGATCCCAAAGCGGCTCTCCGACGCCCCCCTGTGGCAGGAGGGGGTCCTACCCAGGGGGGCGGGGGCGGAGCAGGCTGCAGGGGCGGACCCTCGGCCTGGCCCCCAGCGCGGCCTCAGACCCGCAGTGGGTCTCGGCCAGGGGTCCTTCGCCTGGGGGACCCTCCACGGCAGTGCGCCCCACTTCGGGCAGGAAGAGCAGAGGTTCAGGGTCCCGGACCCCTAGGCGGCTGCAGGTGGGGGCGGAGGGAGGTGTGAAGGGTGTGGCCCTGTGTGCCCCTAGGAAGGGCCTGCAGGAGAAGGACAAGGTGTGGCTGCTGCGAGAGCAGAAGCGCAAGAAGAAACTTCGCAAGCTGCTCAAGCGCCTGCAGAACAACGACACGTGCAGCATGCCGGGCCTCACGTGCTTCACCCACGACAACCAGCACTGGCAGACGGCGCCGCTCTGGACACGTGAGCGAGCGGGCAGGCACGGGCGGGAGGGCTGCTCCGGGCCGCACGGGGACCGCCCCGGCCCCGGCCCAGGACTGCGGGGGTCACAAGCCCTGGGGGCAGAAGGGGGCCCCGGGTCCCAGGCGGAACTCCTGTGGGCTGCTCACCGGGTGCGGCCCCCCCTTCCCTTGGCAGTGGGGCCATTCTGCGCCTGCACCAGCGCCAACAACAACACCTACTGGTGCATGAGGACCATCAACGAGACCCACAACTTCCTCTTCTGCGAATTCGCCACGGGCTTCCTCGAGTACTTTGATCTCAACACGGATCCCTACCAGGTACACACAACACAGGCTGCAGGAGCGGGGATGGGGGCCCCCTGAGCAAGTGGCAGCACATCTTCCAAGTCCCCCTGAGCCCCGAAGGCAGGAGGAGGGGGTTCAGAAGGGACTCGGTGCGTCCTCGGCCCCTCTGTGCCTCCGTCCTCCTGCCCCTGGAATCTGGGTCTTGAACGGCTTCTCCCTCTATAGGCACCTGCCAGTGGTGAAGCAGCCTTTAGGGCTAAGTGTGAAGGCTCCTAGAACTGGAGGGCTTTGGGGGGGGGTCCCGAGGGTCAGACCAAACCCTGCACACTCGGGGGCCTACGGGGACCACACAGGTAACGGGCCACAGCCAGCACTCACGACATGCCGGGCACTTGCCTAAGTGTCTCCGAGTATTAATCATTGGAAGACATGGGCCCAGTGGCCCAGAACATGTAAGATGGGTGCCACCGGTCTCTGGTGAGCGGCCTGGGTGTGTCCCCTCTGAAACGGCCGGTCCCCACTGAGCTCTTCTGCACTGGAGCTTCCCAGCAGTGTGGCCTCGGTCTGTCCAGTCTCGGTGTCTCTAGTCATTTTATCCGAAACCTGACTTTTAAAGGCCAGCGGCCCCACTCTCTTGGTCTTTAACTTGGTCTTTAACCACCGTACAGGCTGCCGGTCTTTCTGCCCAGGTAGGCCATCCCCGTATTTTACACAAGCGGGTGGCACAGCGTGCACGTTAGTCACCAGTAGCTCCCAGAGTGGGCAAGGACCCAGGACCCTGACCCATCCCTTCCCCATCCCTTCCGCAAGTGGCAGCTTAGCAGTCAGGCGGCGCTGAGGGGCTGTGGATGACGGCCTGGAGCTAGAGGGGAGAGTGGCCACACCGAGCGGCCGGAGCCGCCGCTCACAGCGGTCCTTCTGTCCTGGGGGAGAGGGCACGAGTCAGTCCGGACTGTCCCCAACTCCAGCTCCTGCAGAGTAAAGGCCCCCGTCCCCCAGCACCCCTGCTCCCAACCTGCCTGGAGGAAGTGCCCTCGGTGGTGGAAGCTGGTGGGGGTCCCTGCGCTCACCTTGTTGATAACCTCTGTTCCAACCAGTTGATGAATGCGGTGAATACACTGGACCGGGACGTCCTCAACCAGCTCCATGTGCAGCTCATGGAGCTGAGGAGCTGCAAGGGTTACAAGCAGTGCAACCCCCGGACTCGGAACATGGACCTGGGTGAGGAGGCGCTCCGACGTGGGGCCTGTGGGGAGCAGGGTTACCGCTGGAAGGAATGTCGGGGGTCAGTCTAGTCCGAAGGGCCGGGCACCACCAGGGGCTGGTGAATCCTCACCAGTGGTACAACAGCCCCTCCCTAACATGCACCAAGCGCTGTGTTGCTGTAAGTCCCGACGCGCCTCGATCACGCTGTGCTGGTCACCGTGCTACGGGTCTCACAGTCAGTATCTGATCACCCCGTGACAACCGTCTGGGAGGAGTCACACGACCAGGCCGGCCGATCCCAAAGCCCACACGCTTGGTCAGGCCGCCGATGCTCTAGGAAGCTTGCCCAGAGCCGAGCCGCAGGATCTCCCCGCTGCCCCGCTCTCGGGGCCCATGGCTTCCTGTCCTCTGTCGCATAGGTGTCCCTGCCTATATCTGCCTCCCCGACCGGGACCACGCCCCAGGTTACTGTTGAACGGATACATCAGGGTGCCTCAGCTGGTGACATTAGAGGACAGGCAATCCCCAGGCTACGTGAGTCTCAGGGAACACTCACGTCAGGATTCAGCCACTCCACCTGCCCGAGGAGACACTGTCAACGTCATGAATGACAAAAACAGAAAAGAAAGGCAGTTATAAAGCAGTTGTCATTGTTGGTGCCATTTTTGCCCCAAACTCAGTTTCTCTTTTGTTCATTTCTGTCTCATTTAGGACTTAAAGATGGAGGAAGCTATGAGCAATACAGGTACCTGGTTTTGTTGTTAAAGCCCGAGACCGTTCCGCTAGGCTGGCCCATCCTGTGGTCCAACCTCTTGAGGTGGCGCGAGCCAGGCTGAGGCCCTGCCCGCTCTCTGGTCTGCCAGGGGCCTGGAGCGCCCACCAGGGAAGGGGGAGGCTCTTTCTGGGTGAGGCTAACACGCCCTCTCTTTTTGACACCCGAAAACTTAGGCAGTTTCAGCGTCGAAAGTGGCCAGAGATGAAGAGACCTTCTTCCAAATCGCTGTGAGTGGAGGAAACAATTTACAAACAGAGATCTGGTCTGCCCTGCTTCGTTATGCCGAAGCCGTTCTGTGTGCATGCCATTTCTTTCGTAATCCTGTCTCTGTTCGTGTCACGAGCAGGGAGCAGGAAGGTCTGTGTTTTAGATTAATACCTTGTCTCACACGCTTGTTCTCTATAGCATCATCTGGGCCTGGAAGACTCAATGTAGTCCTTAGAGGTTGAGAAGCGTGTAAACGTTACACTTGTCAGGCATCTCGAAGGCTGTGGCTGCAGAAGGGCTAACTGGTCCATGTCAGCAGCAGGGGCGGCCTCATGAAATGGCCCCCAAAATATCCATGCCCCGAAGTCTCCCTCCAGCGCCAGAGAGGCTGCTGAAGGGCTGAGACTGGGGCGACCTGAAAGGGGCCACCTTGAGTCTAAAGGGAACGGCACCAGTGGGATGCGGCTTGGATCCTCCAGTTCACCGTGAAAATCCAAACACGCAGATATGTGTGAGGATTTTTAATTCACATTGGCCATTCATTTGACATTAGATTACCATGCAGGCCGACGGACCCCCTTGGTGGCTGCCGTGCGCAGCCTCCCATCTGTGCTCTCCCTTCTTTCTCCGCACAGAAACCACCTGTGGCTTCTTAGGACAATACTAATGGGCAGGCCAAGCAGTTCTTTGGCGCTCCCAGAATTAAAGCACATCATCTCTCGGGTCATGTCCCCAGTGCAGCCTCCGCCGGCCACGGAGCATGCAAGCCGCCGCTGGAAGTCGGGGTGACCGGGTGGGAGCAGGCCCTTGCTCAGGGCCCTGGCAGTTCTCCCCTGTGGCAAAGCGCGCTCAGCCGCATCGGGGCTGCTTCCTCAGACACTAAGAGGAGTCTGCTTTGCTCCGCAGGGGACAGCTGTGGGAAGGCTGGGAAGGTTAGAAGCAGCCAGCGGGCCTCCAGACCAGAGGCGCCATCTGACCGAACCGACCCATTTCAGGCGGGTCTGTGCTCCTGGCCAGGGGGGCCTGAGTCACGGGACCTGCTTTCCGTCAGCATGGCACGCTCTGGAAGACAGCCATCGGGAGCCGTGAATTTTCAGGAAGTCCACTTTTGCCCCTGCTTTTGCTTTGGATTATACCTCACCAGCTGCACAAAAGGCATTTTCGGATCCAACGGTCACCACTAACCCTCTCTGAGAGGCTTCCAAAGGAAAAAGATTTTCTTTGGAAATTTCCCCCAACGGTGTTAAGTCACTGGAACTTTTTTTAAAATTCTAGGGGAAGAACAACCCCGTTTTAAATCCTCTTGTTCTTTTGGTTCGTCACAAAGAAGGACCTAAGGCTGCAGCAGGACAGACGCAACTTGCGGACGTTTGGAAACGGTGCCGAGTTCGACAAGGAGTCAGCAGCACAGAAGAGGGGACTTTCATCGAGCACCATAATGCAGGCTGTCTCTGAAGAAACGGACTTCACTGTACATAGGAGACTATTTACGTGTAACCAGCGTGGGGACTCGCAGGGGAATCTAGTAAGAAAACCCAATTTTCGAGAGTGGTGGTATCAATAAATGGTCTGTGGCCAGTGTAAAGAAAACCCCTTGCAGTTGTGGACATTTCTATTCCTGACCAGATACCATTTCTGCCAGTATTGCTTTGTTAACTGTCCCAGAACTGACGTTTTTTAAAGTACTGGAAAGAAACGAAGTTGATGTATGTTATGTCCCAGGTTTTAACAAAATTGTATTTGTAAAGAAATTTTGTAGTCTAAGTATTGTCATACAGTGTTCAAAGTCCCAACCAACGACCAGCAGTTCATATGAGGTAACCTTTAACATTTTGTAAAAGGCCGTTCTTGGGAGTTTTTTGGTGTGCTTGGTTTTTTTAAAAACGCAGTCAACACCTTTTTGGAAGGAGACACTTAGGTTTTTCCAAGGGGGAACAGATGGGTAAAAATTAATGACAAAAATTTATCATACTCCAGGAACCTTGCAGGTAAGTCTCACATTACACCCGCTTCAGGACCTCACTTTTTTTAAAATGTTCATTGACTGCAAAGCAATTCACCGTATTAGCCAACCCCTCTCTGTGCACCAGCTTGTCCAGCCCGGCAAAGATAGATAGCAGTCAGAGGCCAGGAGCAAGAAACAGGAGGACCCTCCCTCCTCGGCCATCACCCAGCCTGATGTGCTTCTCACCAAACAGACGGTGAAGAGGACCCCAAAGTGCTCACCTTTGAGAACAGCTCTGTGCTTTTCAAGCGTTCTGTTAACCTTAGAGAGATTGCTAGAATAATTTGAAACAGGATTCCTTAATCCAATCGGGATTTAAAAAAAAGAAAAGAGAAAGAAGCTCTTAGGCTTCAATTTTAAATAGAAACCTTTATTTACAATGACATCCAAAATGATCAGCAAAGCAGTCGTCAGAGCTTACCACTCAACCATCTCGTAAGTTATCCCATGTGGTCTGGATTCTTTGCAGTGTAAAGAACGATTCAGATTTTTAAAAGCAACATTTAATGTAAACTTGATTGAAACTGAATTCATTCTCAATACTATAAGTCAATTCCTGAGAATTTTAAATATTGCTCTCAGAATGACATTTCCATCATCGAAATTCCACACATTGGAAAGAGAGAGAAAGAAGGAAAGAAAAAACCACCTCGCTCATTAAACAGCTGACCTTGGAGCTCAACAGCAGCTTGCTCCCCCGAAGCAGGGGGTTTCGTCTGTCCTACAGGCTTTACTCCTATGACGCCCCCACTCGTGAACAAAACGCATGGAACTGGACAGGCATATGGACAACTGGCAGTCCTTTCGAGGACAGCAAGCCAAGTACGTTCTGTACTCCCCCACCCCATACCCCCAACTCACCTAGATATTAAATACCAATTAACTAAGCAGTCCTGGTGATTGATATTTACACCTTTTCCATCAAGATGCATGATTTAGAAAAGTGGCATCATAATATGAACATTAACAATGAATTTCTATTTGTTTTTTTTTTTAAGAAGAAACGTATCTCCTTTATATCATTTTGATCTTTATAAAATATATATATTTATATTTATATATCTTTGGATTCAGCAAAAAAGTAGGTACTGGAAATATCGCACATTCTAAAAGCAGATGAAACAAATACCAAGGTTTAAAAAAGTGGGGGGTGGGGGTAAGGAGAGGTAGGCAGCAGGAGTACAAAGAGAAGTATCCAAAAAAGATAAAAGGGCAATAAAGGTAAAAACAAATTATCTCAAAAGACGGCATCTATTAAAAGAAAATCAAATTCTTAAGTTTGCACCAATAAAATGAACAAGTAGAAAATATAAAAACTTATAATAAACTTTCTCCTTTTTTTCCCATATAAAAAGGGGGTGCTGCCTTCCAGTTAGCCTGGAGTTGGGACTGAGGAAAAGAATCACAAAACTTTGTATTTTTTGTTTGTAATTTTTAAAAGTCAAGAAAGGTAAGAGCACCATTCCGTTTCTCCCCACACACATGACTTAAAACAAGAAAGGTTCAGAGATATGTGACACAATTCTATCTAAAAAGACCGAGACTCTTACTCAGCTACATCTCTGTCTCCAGACAGGAGGATATGTTATCTGAAAAGTACAGGCCACTATGATGGAAGTTGATGGATTTACAATCTTCGATTTATTTTTAACCAGGAGGTGGGGGAGAGGGTGTCAAACCCAAATCTGTTCCAGTGGTGGTTCTGGAAATACAGGTTTCACTTATGCATAAGTCAAAGAAATTAAATGATCTTACCTTCAGAGACACCTAGAAAAATTGGCTAAACATGTATGAAATAAAAGAAAAATTAACTGGCTCTCGGTTATTGCTAGGAAATTGACACCAAAGCTAGCCAGAGACCTTTGAAATTCACAAGACATTTTAAAATCCAATTTCATTCAACTATTTATTTGAAGCTAATAAAGTAAACCAGATAAAAGGAACTAAAATTGACTTTTTTCTCTATTCCCAACGGACTGGAACAAGTGTCTTAAGCCTGGCAAGAGCAGAAAGGGGCGGTGGCAGGGAGTGCAAAGGCACTCGCTCAGCCAGACCGCAGCTCAGAAGCTGCAGACCCGGCCGCCCTGGAGGCTGAGCTCCCTGAGACACCACCTGGCGGCTGTTCCGGTTCTCAGGGACAAGGAGCGTGCCACCTCCGAGTGACAACCGAGCAGACACTAGAAAACACACATCAAGGGGTCTACTCCTGAGATCTCAATGTGGGATTTGGGTCCTAGCAACCAAAACCTTAGAGCACTCCTACAGTGGATGAATAGGCAACATACTCGATTAAAAAACAAAATACCGTGAATTGCTATTGTTTAATTTATGGACCACTTAAAATCCAAGATTCTTTTTTAAATCAAATTGCTTGATCTTTTAAAATTCTTGTTATCTTTTTTTAAAAGTTTATTTCCCCATATCTATTCTTTCCCCTAAAATTAACAAAGTGCTTAGTTCTGGTAGAGGAATTTAAAAGACAAATTTAAAACTCCTACATCTAAACAAATGATCTTTTTAAAAAGCATTTAGATTAAGAGACTGAAAAGAGAGAGGCCTCTAACACCAGAGCATGGGGGAGGGGGGCTCCGACCACCATGCCCTCGCCCAGGCCACAAAATTCAGGGGACGTCTGTGCGTAGCCTCACCACACTGAGCTTACTGAAGTCAACAATGTTAAATATTTAGCTTCACAAACTCTGTAAAAATGAGTTGTTGTGACCTGCAAAAAAGGTATGTACATATTTTACATAATACAATATCTTAAAGGCCGTATTTACAAAAGAAAATCTATTCACAGAAACACTGCGAAATTCTGATTCAGAATGCAGTACCTGGCCTTGGGTTTTCTGCAGTTTATTTTCAAAAAGCATTATTGCTCTACCATATAGGCAAAGGGTGACACCAGTACTTTCAACAACAACAAAAACCATCGCTCGTGTCCAACGGATTAGTTCAGACAAAAACCGGGAATGTGGTTCACCATTCCTCAAGACCTCAAGAATATTGCATTTATCCATTACTTTTTAAATAAAGTGCACTCGGCTGCACGTTAGCATGTGAAAAATTGCTACTGCTGCAACTAAATACTGTCATCTCACTGTCCCTTCCGCAAAGCCATGTGACATCAAGGACAGCCCCTGGAGGTGAAGTATTACAGGACAGTTAGGGACAGAGGAAGTTCCTACTCAGGAAAAAGTCCAGGACAGTCAAGAACAGGGCTGGAACAACTCAACACCATCATTAGAAGACAAGAATTCAGAAAGGCCAACTTCTCGGGACAGAGTCAGGTGAGGACACAGAACTATCTGGTCGTGAGAAGGACACGTGAAGGCCGCGACTGTGCTCTCCACCCAGTACTGCCACTGGAGAAACCAGACCTCCTTGCCTCTCTGGGCTTCTCCGAGGTTCTCTAGCCCGCCCACATTTATCTGAAACACTCTGACAGCCAGGCAGAAAGAAGGGACACAAGAGAGTTTCGGGATCAGTAACACTCCGTACCTCCAGAATCCCATCTCTAAGAGGCAGAATGCCAAAAATATTTGTTTTGAACTCCATGACACACAGGAGGAGGAATAATACAGAGAGACATCGCATGTCCACTTCAAACCCAGTCCTGCTCAAATGACATCACTCGGAATACCCTTCCCAGAGTTCAAAGCTGGTTCTTTCCTCAGAGCTGGGTGTGCAGGACGATGATTCTTTACTCCCGATAATCCCAGTGCAGGGTCATTTTGTACAGTGATTTCCTTGGAGGTCCTGATGTACAGGGTGTCAGCAGTATTTCTGTTAACAACCAGAAGACACGTGAGTAAAACACACGCTCTGTACAACACAGAATCCACAGCGCCTGCAACAGGACTGTGGCTGACAGATTCAGATCCCTTAGATTAAGCCACATTACCAAAGGTACTGAATGGCCCAGTGCCTTCAAACCACAAGTATTTCAATGACTAGTTTTGAGTTCTATGCCCAAGTTAAAAACCTGCTGAGGTCCTTTAGATTACAGATGAAGCTTTGGCACTCTCCAGAGAACAGGAAAAACTTTCTGAGAACAGGAAGGGATAGACCCCCCATACCTGATCAGGACCCATGGGCATGCCAGCCATGGGCATGGAGTTCATGTTCATCTGTCCCATGGGACCACTGCTCCCATTCATGTGCACCATACTGTACGCTGCAGGGCTCCCCTGGTGGGCGAACTGCTGCTGGGGAAAGGAGCTGTAAACAAAGTGTGAGATTACCACCCGGGTCACTCTAGTCACAACCGACATGCACATAGAGACCACCACGATTCTGTCAAATGTCTCTGCTTCAGCGGAGAACCCGAGGGAGAAGACTGCCCCTGCCTTCTGTGTTTCCACAGCTGCCTGTGGACACGTGGAGGGCAGGAAGGAGTCTCAAAATGGAGGAGCCAAATAACACACTTTCTAATATGAACCCAGGCCTTTTGATCTCTCCATCCACTCAGGCTTGACTGAAAAATGCAGAGGATACTTTCCTGTACTTTTGGGCCCTAGAACATGAATGACTTTTCAAGTCCCCGTTCCTCACCTGTTCCTGGCCAAGTTTCCTGACGGCCAGCCCTTTATTTCCGAGGACTGATACATGGGTGTGGTCTGAGGGTGCTGCATCATGGGATTCTGGGAGGGACCCATTCTTGAGGGCATCATTGCATTGGGAGGACTAGACACTCGACCAAAAGCCGGATCTGGTTGCTGTCCCATTCCTTTAAAAAAGAAGGAAGAAAAAGAAATTGCAACGCTCAAGGGGGACCTTCCTCAGAGTCTCCGTTTTCTACAGAAACTTTATGTTCTCTTCTAAAGGCAGGCGTGAAGACAGTGCCGCAAGCTGCTGCCTGCCAGTTCCTCTTGCTTCTCACTGAGAAGACAACTGAAGGAATGGGCTTACCACACAGAGCAGACCGTCTAGACCACCTGAAGAGCTATTACTTCACGGAGATTTCTGTATAAAAGGGATTCCACCTCATGCTACTCACATCACTCTGTCCCTCTGTCCCCAGCTGGCAGAAGTGCACCTAAAATGTAATCTCCCCAAAAGATACTCTATCCCCACTCCCACCATGTTCCTGGAATCTCTCAAAGACTGACCTGAAGATGTAATCTGCACTACTGTAATGAATATACCCAAGTCACCAAGGAAAGGACCCCAAAGCCCACATGGCATTCTTCTCACTCACATGACCAAGCATTCGAAGCCTGTAGAGTTCAACTAGACTGGGATATACTGGGACATACTGGGACATACTGGGGCGGGGGGGGATAGAACCTGGTGGTCTTTCTTCCAAATTAAGAATGTGGGGAGCTGAAAAAACAAGACCTGGGGGGCGGGAAATGCTCCACTCTGACAGATCATCTACCAGGATTACAATCACCTGTGCACTACAATAACCACTTCTGGGGGTTTTTCTGTTTTTGTTTTTTTAGACCAACCAGTTTTTCTCCATTCTGACTACAAGAGCATCGTCTCCTGTTTGGGGTGCTCCGTCCTCCCGTCTTCCACTCTCCCTGCTCTCCTTGCTGTCCTTCTGATGCAGGTGCCTCACAGGCCTCAAGTGCCCTTGCCCCAGTGCAAATCTAAACACATCTATGAACATTCAGTGACTTGCCACCGCCTTCAGAATGACACCAAACTCTTCAAGACTTCTAGGGTTCGTCTGATCTGGCCTCTACTTGTGCCTTGTCAGTCTCACTGGTCACCATCCCTTGTTCTGTTATTTTTAATTAATTCTATCTTTCTAGTTAATGACAAAAAGGGAGTAAGTACTATTTGGCGTTTAACGTGCAACAGATCTGTTACTCTGGGGAAGCCATTTTCACCATCAAAATTTACCATAATTTGGTGGATACGGAAACTGCTGGGGAGAAGCCTGCGGCATCACGGGCCCTGCTAGAACCCCATCCATGCTGGGGGAGGCGGTCACGTTCGGGGGCGGGCTGAAGGCCTGCGGCTGCTGCGGCTGCGGCTGCATCACGGCCACACGCTGCTGTCGGAAGTGATGACTCAGCAGCTCCCTGCTGCGCTGAGCCACCATCTGGGCGTTCAGAAAACCCTGCTAATACCCAAGGAAGAATGCAGTTACACACACGTAGCAGGAACCAGCCAATTCATACACACGGGACCACCACCATACATTAGGCGGGAGAGAAAAACACCCAATGCCTTTCTTCCTACAAAAGGAAAAATGCACAATTCTCCTTTTGCTAAAGGCATCGTGGCTAGGTGGGGCAGACGGGGTGCAGAACAGAGCCCTGGAAACTGTTTGGGCAAGCTGTCAAACTTTCACACTGAAAACATTCCTCAAAGTGAGAGAACATTTAAGGGTAGAATTTGAGGACAAGTTTTTCAGAAACTATGAAATAAAACTACAAGATGGAAAAGGACAGCAATAAGAGGGTGGGAGGAGGGGCCCGCCCAAAGAACGGGGTTAAACTCAATAAACAGGAGTCTACCCCAGAAGGGCCTGTATAGTCTCTGAAAGCTTTTGAAACAAGAGATGGAGGATTAGGAGCAGCTGTCTGGAAGTTCAGGAGGTAACATGGTCAAAGCACAGAACCAAAAAGCTGACTTGGGCCCTATCAGCTGGGAGAAAGCAACTGCAAAAAGCAAACTTTTATCTTTCTGGAGGGCATCCTAGCTCAGCTTATTCAAGATGTCGGATTATCAAAGTACTTCCAAGCAGGCCTAAGACAGCAAATACTGGGCGCTTCACAGTGGGATGTTTTGTTTGTTTTTACAATCATTATGAACAGTCTTTCCAACCACAGTAAAGGACTTTTGTGTGGTCATCTGCCTCGTGCACATTAAAAAAATACCTTAGGACAGTCTCCACCTTGAGCTGGAGGTACAGAGAACTTGAACATCATCCTTCCCACTATGGGAAACAAGTCATCTCAGAGATAGTCCTTGAGAGTCGGATTATGTATTATTTACTTTTTTCTTCTTACAATCTCATATTTTACCAATGAGCATATAGTTTCATAACCCAGAAACAAAGAAAAGTTTACAGATTTATTATTTTAAATCCCAAAAAAGTATCAGCTGTTTTCACAACACAGCAAATCACAAAGGGAATTAATTAAAAAAACACGAATCCATGGTTTTAATAAAAGAGCCTCCCCTCCTGATTCTTCCTCATCACCAGCAAGAGAGAAGAATGGAAGAGGAAGTGTGATGAGAGCAAGGAATGGTTTCTTACACAAGAAACTGGGAACTGCTGTGTTTCAACATACATTTACTGAGGGGCAAGTACGGACCAGGCCCTGTGCAGGGCCCACGGGAGTGACCGTGGACAGACTCACTTTCCTCACCTGGGAGGTGACCTGGGGCTGCATCATGGGCCTCACCACGGCAGCACTCCCAGCAGTGGGGCTGTCCATTTTCATCTCCAGGGCCTGACGGCTCTGATTCAAAAACTGGGGAGAGACAGGTTGGTTAGGATGCAAGTGGAGCGTGTCACTGAGCCCCAAACAGCTTTCTAAATCCTCAGCACCACCCGGTAAGATCATGATGCTACTTCCAACACATTAACCTGGTTAAGTCACATCTACACTGAACCAGTATACTTCCATACTTCAAAAAATTCAGGCTGAAAAGTCCTTGGCAAGCATATGAAGCTTTATTGTTTGGCATCAGGAAGAAAAGTAACAATACAAATCTGCAGCTTAAAGAGTATCTTCAACAGAAACTCAAAGGATTCATTAAGTCAGATTTTCTGTGGGACTATTTAGGCCATTAGGGAAATAGCTTTAATTTGCTCAGACCAACACTAAATAAACTACCTCTTCTGTTAGCTTTTCCTAAGTAACTTTTAGTGGAAAGAAGTGGTAAAAAGTAAAACGATACCATGATTGTACTAACACAGCTTTGCAGAGTACCTACATTGACTTTTAGTAGTATTAATACCCTAGAAGTCTCTGGCTCACTGGACCTGACACTCACTCACTCATCAGCTTATATGGTTCGGTTCTGCCACATTTAATAACTCAGCATACCCAAGACATAAACAATATAAATAATTAAATTTTAAAAGATGTGCTGGAGATTAAGGAAACAATAAAAAAGCGAACTCCTAGTTTAGAATATTAAGAGTTGAAGTTTTATAAAACATCTAGAAAGCAGAGGTTCCATAAAAAGAATGTTCAAATCAGTAAGTATCTGGTATGAATATTAAGGACTTTTTTAAAAATAGAAATCATCTACCTCTAAGCCATCAAAAAATACTTTTCTCCCCCAAGTGCCATCCCCTCAGACATTTTTCACTTTTTAACCTGTACAATAGAATAATCTTATCAAAAGGTAAGGAGGACCTGACCAATTCCAGCAGGACCACTCCCTAACAAGGAACTACCTGTACAAACAAATGTTACACAAAAGTCAAAACAAAAAAGTGTGAGATGGCAAGAGAGAGAGAGGCAGTGGCAAAAGCCCTGAAGAACAAAGCCTGACAACCAATCAAACAGGAGGCAGCCAGAGGGAAGGCGCGTCTGGCTGAGGCGAGCTCGAAGCTGCTTACCTGCTGGCCCTGCAGCCTCTGCTGAAGCTGCATCCGGAGCTGCTTGGGGGTATTTGTCCGGGGTCTCATGATGTTGGCCCTTGGGTGCATTCCTTGGAGAGGAAAATTGCCTTGCTGGTTCATCTGATTCATCATTGAGTTAAAAGATGGTGATTGTCCCTGAAGATTAAAGCCTCCCTGCATTGGAGGCCCCTGTGGCGGGTACGTCTGCCCATATAATGCTGCCTTCTGATCCATCATTACTGCCGCTTCTTGGCCCTGGAAAGCATCCTGTTTGGACTCCAAAGCTTGTCCCTTAAACATCAAACACATAAATGAACAGTAAAGTACATCTGGAAAGCAACAGAAATCAAATGCTCCAAGGAAGGTAAAAAATAAAGTCAATACATGCAAACAAGGATGCCGCAGAATTCCAAAAATAAAATCAAGTTTATTGTCTGAAGTTCCATGAGAACACAGACCATGACCCATGTTTTCACAAATGTGTCCCAGTGCCTAGCACAGAGTCTCACACAGACAAAGAGTACCTGGAGAAATGCTATTTGTTCCAGACCAGACCTCCGAAGCCAAGTATAAAAAAACTAATTAAAATTGTGATCAATTCTCATATAATTAGTATAGGAATATTTTGATGGTGATCAGAGGTGATTTTGGAAGAGACCGGGGAAATCAACATAAACTCATATCCCCCGAAGCGTATTACTAGTTGTACAAATAAAACCTAAAGGTGGCCGTCCACTACTATTTGTATGGCTGGAGGGATCATTAAGAAACCCATTCATTCAACAAGTATTTATCAAGTGCCTGCTATGTGCTTGGCATCACTTCTCTACATGCAAAGGATATATATGCAGTAAAGTCGAACAGGTAACAGAACAACAGTGAAAACAAATGTTCCGAAGGAGTGAAGAGCCTGCCACGCTGAGACAAGAAAAGCCTGTCAGGTACTGCGCTCACCTTTACCTTCTTATCCACGGGCACACAGTGTATGTGTGCAGGCAACAGTCTCACCCCAAAACACACGTCACCCCACTGTGACAGTGACCCCACCCTCGATTTCCCCACCTCTCTGACCTCTCCTCGGAGGCATGGTAGGCATTCATCAGGGTTCAGTCCTAGGGCACTCTTCTTTTCTCTAGCTACATCTTCTACTCTGGTCTTCTCATCTACTAGCGACAACGGCCAAACTCGTCTCCAGTTCAAGTGTCTCTGAGTTCTGACTCTGCTTATGCAAATGCCTGCTTAACAACTTCACCTGGATGTCACCGGCATCTCAGGAGTTCACGCGCAGAAAAAACAAGTCATGATTCCCAACAGCCCCTCCCCCAAAAGACCCGGATCTTCCTCCAATCCTCCCCTCATGGCAACATGGCAACACCATGTACCCAGAACTAAAGCCAGCAATCTGGATTCCTCACATTCTCCCTTTCCAAGCGTGTGTGTGTGTGTGTGTGCGTGTGTGCATGCGCATACACACACAGGCACACACAGTCCACCGAGTCCTGTCAGTTTTTCTTCCATATGACGTATCACACAGCCTTCCCTTCTTCCATTCCACTGCTATGACCCTCTCCAAGACACATTCTTGGACTCTTGTAGTAAATGGTTCTATGCATCTGCTCTGTCCCATCATTCTAATTCCCTTCTCCAGAAAGGAATCTGAAATCTCTTTCTATAAAGTAAATCATACTGTAAGTTAAACATGGATTAACCTTGCATGTCTACCTCCTTTCCCTTGCTAACTCTACTAAAGGAATAGCAAAGAATTTAAAAGGTAGTATCCTGGGGCGCGTGGGTGGCTCACTTGGCTAAGTGTCTGCCTTCAGCTCAGGTCATGATCCCAGGGTCCTGGGATCGAGCCCCACATCGGGCTCCCTGCTCCTTGGGAAGCCTGCTTCTCCCTCTCCCACTCCCCCCTGCTTGTGTCCCCTCTCTTCTTGTCTCTCTGTCAAATAAATAAATAAAATCTTTTTAAAAAGTTACTTATTAAAATAAATAAATGAAAGGTAGCATCTATCCACAAAGCAATGAGAATAAGAAAGGCAACAAAGTATTTCAACAGGCGTTTTCAAGACAGAAAAAGAGAGGAGCAACCAACTCAAGAAAGTAGAGAAGCTGAGATCCGTGTGCCTGTAGGGGAAAACACGTAAGACCCGAGCAAATGTTTCCCACAGAGCCAATGACAGACTCCACTGGGGATGTAGAGGGTCAGGCAAAGTGCTCAAACGTGGCTGGTTAGGAATCTGAGTAGAGAGCAAGGGAGCAGCTACCTCCCAGCCCCTAACCTGCTCCCCAATTCTGCATAGCCATGTAGCTATACCTTCTACCTACTTACTCCCTCAACTACCTCAGTTCTGGGACACCAAGCAGAGCAGAGAGGTAAGAGCAAGCAGAAGCTGAAAACAGGAAATCTTATTTATAATTTCTAGTAAAATTTTTATATTTTATATCTTAACACTCTGGTATCATCAACTTGCCTCCCAGCCCAGCTCCCAAAATGCAACCAGGTAATTAAAAATTCCCAGGCAAGGAAAACTATACAGTGTGAGTAGAAGAGGAGGTGGTTAACAGCTCTACATGTTGCAATTTGGGGAGTCCTGAAATAAAAGGGCTAGCCCCCCCATCAAATACTTTCAGTGAAGACTGATTCTTTTTAATACATCATACTTAAATATAAAAAGATAGTCAAGGATTTCAAGATATGTGATGGTGAAAGCTTCCAACATGAAAGGGACACAAACAAGTAAAAAGTAACTCAGAAACAAGGAAAATAGAGATTAAAAAACACAGATTCAATGTAATACCCAACATGTCAATAGACATCCCAAAGAGGTAAGAAAATACAGGAGATAAAATGATTAAAGAAATGATACCAAATGACATGTCTGATAAGCTTTAGAAATATTCAACCCTAAAAAAAATTTTTTTAAAAAGGAAAAGACATTCAGCCCCATTACCAATAAATGCAATTAAAACTCACAAATTAAAAAGAAAAGAGAAGAGAAACGATACACAAAAATGCCCCCAAACCAAAAGGAGTCTCTGTGCATCTGACATACAGCAGAATGAATGAGATAAGACCCACACCATGATAAGGTTTCATGCAACTTTAGAAGGAAAAAGTTCCTGAATAATTCCAGAGACAATCAATGGGTCGCACACGAAAGAGCAGGAATCAGACTGAAATATGAGTCCATGGCAACACTGGACGCCAAAAAACTGTGGAACAACTCTTTCAAAATTCTAAGAGGAAATTATTTTCAACCCAAAATTTAATACACAGCCAGACATGCAGGGGATGCAATAAAGATACTTTCAGACACACAAGGGCCCAATACACTTAACGTCATGCCTAAAATGACAAGTTTTGCTCAAAACTACACCAGGGGTACCACAAAATAAATGGCATATATGCACCATTTTACCTTTCTAAATCCAAAAATTCCTGAATTCCAGAGCATACCTGACCCCGAGGTTCTCAGACAAGGGAAAATGAATGCAGTCAGCTATCGTAACAGGAAATCAACAGATACAGACTGAAGTTGAAGAAGAATAGCTGCATACTCATAGTACTTAGAAATATACCCCAAATAGTTTGAGTTTCACTATCTCTGAGTGGGGCAAATGCGTGTGATTTTTCAAAAAGTCTATTTTTGTACCATTTTACAGTTTGAAACACAGGTTACTTGGCTAAAAATAAAAATTAACTATAACAAAAAAGGAAAGCAAGCTTAAAATCTTCCATGGCTTCCCAATTTAACAGAAAAATTCCAGACTCCATAAGATGGTTTGTGGAACCAGCTTCCGTTTACTTCTCCATCGACGTCTCAAAGAAATCCCTCTCTGCTCTCACGGACTTTCAGTCGCTTGGTAGAACCCCGCCCTTCCCTGCCTGAGGCCTCTGAGTTAGCTGTACCTCTTCTGGAACATTCTTCCCCTAGCTGATTGCCAAGCTGGCTCCATCTCATCCTTCAAATGTCACCTTACATGTCATCTGCCCAAAAAAAGCTTTCCTGACCACTCACCCCAGTCCCCAGTAATTCTTTATCTCATCATTCTGGACTTGAAAACACAAACATTTTTAAACTAAAGAGTAAGACTACAACAAGCCCCCACTAAAAAGAAACTGGGAAAACTATTCAAATATATTAGACAAGTAAACAGCCTTCAAATCACAGCTCAGATAGAAGAAATTATTTCAGAGAAAATAATTTAGAGAATTAGAGAAAAATGCTGACACCCTAAGAAAAGGTCCTTTTATAACACAGGCCCTTCGTGCTGATCTCCACCACACCATGTCTGCCTCCATCCGGGTGGCTCCTTGCCTGATGTGTGCCTGCTCCAGTGCAATCTGAGCTCTGGGAGCAGAAATTAATTTGTTCATTACTGCCCCTCAGCCTCTAAAAAAAGACTAACTGGCATACAGAAGACAAATATTTGTTAAATGAAAGAATCAACAAGTCAATAAATAAACTTGCATAAAGTACTGTTGCAGATAAAAACCCCATCAGGAACTATTTTAAAAACATATAAATGACCAAAAAACATGAAATATGTTCAGTCTTGCAAATCAACAAAATACAATTTAAAACAAGCATGTTTGGGCACCTGGGTGGCTCAGGCAGTTAAGCCTCCGACTCCTGATTTCGGCTCAGGTCATGATCTCAGGGTTGTGAGATCGAGCCCCACACTGGGCTCCAAACTAGGCGTGGAGCTTAAGAGTCTCTCTCCTTCTCCCTTTGCTCCTCCCAGCCTCCTCCTCTCTCCCTCTTGGGAAAAAACAAACAAAAAAACACACATACACATGCACCTCTGGGTGCCTGGCTGTCTCAGTCAGAAGAACACATGACTCTTCATCTTGGGGTTGTGAGTTCGAGCCCCACATTGGTGTAAGAGATTACTTAAATATAAAATCATTAAAAAAATAAAAATAAAACAAGCATCTTTGTTGCCAATCAGACTGGGAAAGATTTAAAAGAATAATCATGCTCAGTATTTGTTTCATCACTTGCTTGTCCACACTGTGTCTTTCATCTACTTGGGCCACAGCACAGTGCTTGTGAGGGTGAGGAACCCCAATCCTCAGCCTCTGTGTAGGAAAGCAGCTGTATGATCCTTTAGGAAAACCACCTACAAAACTCTAAAATATACACTCTCTCTACCCAATCAACCTTTCTCTCAGACTGTAGGTAAGAAAAACTAAGTGAACAGGATGGGAGTAATTCATAGAATTGTTTATGATAATTATTTAGAAACAATTTAACTTTCATCAGTAGAGTACTGGTTAAATAAATTGTGTTCTCTATAGTAGATACTACATGCCTATTAAAATTAAAGACATATATATTAAACAAAAGAAGATGACTGAGGGGCACCTGGCTGGCCCAGTGGATGGAGCTTGTGGCTCTTGGTCTCGAGGTTGTGAGCTGGAGCCCCATGTTGGCGTAGAGATTACTTTAAAAAATGAAAAAAAAAAAAAATTAAATAAAAAATTTAAAAAGATGACTGAGGGATTAAAGAGGATTTTTCACTTTTTTTTTAATATGTACTTTTTTTTTGTCATTGTCAGATTTTACATAATGATCATTAACTATTTTATCATTAGAACAGAGAAAGCTCTTTCCGGCTTAAATAAAATTTTAAGGGGTAGTTCAAGCTTATCGGTCTCTGTGTAGCCCTCACATCCACCCTCAGCCACGTGAGACGCCGTTCTTCAGCGCCAGGGGCATGAAAATGGTATTGCTAGAGACATACATCATCACTGCTCTACATTTCCCACCCACCCTTTACAAACTTCTGTGGCAGTGTTTGCCACAGAGGAGTATGATCCTTTGTGTGACCCCCTAAGAATCTTGCCTAATTATCATTGAGTACGTATCTATACACTGCCCCCCCCCACACACACACGGTTCTTTCCATTTCAAAAACATAGGTTTGTGAATGACATATTTTCATAAGGCTGCACAGGTAACTGGGAATGAGAGATGCTATTATTGAGATGTTCATATTTCATATTCACTACTGTAACTGGGTTTTGTTTGACACAAAAAAAAGCTTGTCTCCTCAGAGTATACACTGCTTGGCCAGGTAGTAAAAAGAGTTAATAATAGGGCGCCTGGGTGGCTCAGTTGGTTAAGCGACTGCCTTCGGCTCAGGTCATGATCCTGGAGTCCCTGGATCGAGTCCCGCATCGGGCTCCCTGCTT